CAATCCACTCATCAGATAACCAATTTGAAAAAATATCATTACACAAATATTCCTTTGCGGCCACCATAAGTGGCAAAGATTCAATAAATGCTTAATAAGCTTTACCAAGTTCTAAAGCTTCTTCTTTAGTTTTACTACGACCCACAGCTTTAAAAGCTATAGCAATTGGATATCGAAACCGTTCATCAATTCTCAAATTTTTAAGATGTTCACCAAGTGTTTGCATTATATGAAACCAGCATAAAATTAAGCCACGTAAAATAGGTTGGAGTCCTCGTTTTGTTGGTCGGTGCTTATCAATCATTGCATATGGCCTCCATACTTGTGCACAATTTCGAATTCTCATAAAACCCTTGCCATTTAATATATCTATATAATTATATTGGTGTAAACAATTACTATCATTACAAGGGATATTTCGCTGGACTGCCTCTACTGCAAGTCGAATCATGTGACTGTTCTCTTTATTTGATACACCAAATGCAATTGGTGTTCCATAACCTGCACAATCTTTAACAACAAGAGATAAAATTGGTGCTCCGTCACTATTTAGATCATATTTGCCATCAATACCGAAGCAGAAAGAACCATGATCACGTGCTTGTTGAAGCCATAAATTATCACTTAATGTAAGCTGATAATAATGTTCTGAACAGTCTTCAGGCATATTAATATCTGGTTGTTGATAATATAGTATAGAACCTTTTTCTTTTAAGATTCCGTTTACTAATTCATGTACAATTGTCCATGAACCAACTTTTTTTCGTGTACGTAAGGTATCTCTTTCTATAAGTCATTTAAGTGTCCCATCATTACATATAGAATTCTGATTTCTATACAATTGTTCAAGTTCATATTGTGATGCACCATTGTATGATGCAAGAAGCTTCATTTTGATTTCTTTTGTTGTACGTTTGTCAGCTCGATGGCTTATAATTGCCAGATCACGTGCTTTACGACTCGGGATGGTGTAGTAATTTGTTGAATAATGCTTTGTGGAACATGATTACCTCTAATAATCATACGCATTGGAAGGTTTGTATTAACTTCAGAAAGCATAACTTTAGTAATAATTTGAACACTGCATTTATGCATATCAAGCGGATTCTTAAGGTTATATTCATTAAGATAATGATTACATTCTTCAGTACATTCTCCAATTCCAACACAGCTTCTCTGACAGCCGTTCTCACCAGAGCAAAACCAAACCCATCGCCATACTTGAAGATCTTTTTCTTTTCCGGCAAGTATGTCTTGAATTCGATTATTTCCTTTTTCAGTTAACCATAAAATGTCATCAAGTCGATTTGTTGATTTAAACTGATCCTTTTTTGTTTTCCAGGCAAGATAATCCGCAGAACCCTCTACACGCTCAACTGTTATAAGTCCCTGCTTTACTGCCTCATTTACTTGTTTTCGACTTTGAACTTTGTAATGGGTACCATGTGAAATGAGAAGTGAATAAAGATACTTTTCAACTGCTCGACCAAATGGCAGCTGAATAGTGTTATCATCCTCAATACGGTTAGGGTAAGAATTCATGTTCTATACTTAATATAATTTACTTTATACGATAAATTTTATTCAAGTTTGAAAAGAAACGAATTTTTGAATAACGATAGTATTTTATTAGCAAGGAAATTCTAACAATGCAAATAATTAAAATTTCCTTATAAAGGTTCAATTATTTTAATGATTTAATGACGTAACATACATATGCATAATTAAAAAACATTTAAGCGACGATATGATCTATTATGATATCATGGTCTTATGATATCATGGTCATATTATATAGGTCAATAACGATGATTATTTTTTAAGGCCGGTCAATAACGATGAATTATCCTGGTCAATAATAGTACTTTTGCCTATACAACTCTAAGATTAAAATAAAAAAATTTTTATCAATTTGATTAGAATGTTGAGATATTTTAATTTAAAAATTAAAAAATTTTACTAAAAATGATTTGTTCTTTTCTATTGACTTCCTCCAATATAGTACCTTTTCTAGTAGACTATAACATTTTTAATGTTGATTAAAGAACTTTTTGTACAATAAGATATAGACGAATGATTGAGTAAACATCTATTTATAATTCGGATTAAATATAACTATCAGGATCTAAACACTAATAAGCATTGTTTTCAAAACTCGGATTCTACTTGTATTTCATCCTCAATTGAATCGAGGATATAATCTCCATCAAATGTAAATAATTCCACTGAATATTCCGGTAAGTCTGCATCCTTTATATATGATTGTGATTTCCCGCGTCTTACATTCTCCGTCTTTTTAAGAATATTTCTCTTCGAATATTTATGGTATGATTCAAGACAACCACGCGTTGACTCTAATGATTCATATATCAATACATCACATGCAATACGATTTGCCAATCGAGATAATAATGGATGTATTTTTGAATCCATAATAAGAGTCGTAAAATGTGCATCTAACAATAAGGTCAAAAATTCTAAAAGCTTTTGTTATAAACAATTAATATTAGTCATCGATTAATATTAACTATCAATCATATCTATGATGTCTGATGGCTTACTTTATGAAACTCGGGTAAATTATCTGCAACGTTATTACATTCATGCATTTTTAGTTGTGATTCTTGTTTTTTTGATAAAACTTCTTTTACGAATTCTGTCTGATCGTATTTTTCGACCCATCCATATAATATTTTCATCACAGTCATCACTTCGTCTTCTGTTAATTGACGTAAACTCCATATCATCATATTATCATTTTTTGGGGCAGCAATAAGATACCTAAGTATACTTCCAATTGAAAATGTTTTGGTTTGACTCGAGATTGCATATTTGAGTAGATATACAAGATCATCTTCGGGAATGTCATTCATAAAGTAAAGGGCCGACTTAATTAAGTCCTATAATATGAAATTTAAAGAGAAATAGTATTACAATATGATAAAATGGTTGATACACAATAGTATGGAAACATAATAGTAGGGACATTATAATTTACCCATGTTTCCCTTTCTATTAAAGCCTTGATAATCCCGCCCTTTACAAACTTGTTTGACATCATTTTTGATTGAATAAAGTATTGGAGGACCTCTGGTACCCAGCAATTCAAATTTGGCGTACCATCCGGATTTTTAGATAAACAATATTCGATTACTGTTTGAATAAAATAATATGATAATTCTGGCCTTTGTGCTTCTCCTGACTAAACAAAATTTCATAATTATCAAATAAACGTTTAAAACAATAAATTAACCATAATCATAGATTGTTTACCTCAAGATATTCGTATATTTTTTCTTGATTAAGAATGTATTTTCTTGATTCATATGTTTTTACCTCCCATTCTTTCCATAAATCTTGCAATTTTTGATAATTATCATCATCTTTAATATCAGGATTATCGTTGTCATCTTCATAAATGTTTATAGCTTTCATTCTTTTAGATTTCTTAGAAAATTTCTTATTACTCTTCCAATTTTCAAGATATTTTTTATATTGTTCTTTGTCTATATCGTGTCTTTTCAAAAAAGATTCAAATGCTTCTACGCCCTTTTGTTTCACAAAAAGTTGAAATCGTTCTCTAACATTTTCAGTCGTATGAGATTTGAACAAAAGGAACTTTAGAAATCTGTATTCTTCCTTTTGTAATTCTTTAATATTATTTTCAATATCATTTAAAAATTCGTCAGAAGCATGTTCAATTGATTTCTATAATAATATAATTAATAGAATCGATATGAAAAAAAATAATCAAAGTTATATTCAATAAAGTTATGCTTACAGGTTTTGTATCCAAATCAAGACCAAATCTGGTAATTCCGAAACCCCGAGTATAACCACTTCCCAATTGTAAATATGCTGATGAATCTTCCATGCGATTTAATGCGTGTAGCAACGTCATTGGTTCATAATGACATCGACAAAGGAATGTTGATAATTTAAAAGTATTAGGATTATTCGATAAGGATTCAGATAGTGTGGATACTATCAAATTGCTACCAGGTACAACGATAAGCTGATATTAAAATTTAAAATAAATGCATTAAACTTGATATGATAAATGGTAGTGACATGTTGACGAACTCTATACCTGAAATTTAAAAAGAGAAGGATATGATGCAATATCTGTAGAGTTTTCTTGCTTCAGTGTGCCAAGTACACACTCAGCTTGTAATGTTCCATAACGTAAATCCCATATGGTCAAAACCTTATTGACTTTTAACATAATAAATTTGCAACAAAGAAGTTAATTTTAGGTTGAATATTTATACATTGATTAAATATATATATGTTGTAAGTGGGAACGGAATTTAAGTGAATTTGGAATTCCTTAATAAAATTGGTAGAATTTATTTTATCTGAAAATCCTAAGAAATTCCAAATCCACTTAAATTCCGTTCCTGCTTACACCATATACGTGCATGTCACTTACTTGACGTCGAAGTTTTTTGCATTCCAACAAGAGCCAAATAAGAATCGGAAATAGGAGCGAACCCTATTGCGTGTTCACCTTGTATTGTCGAAAAGTGCTTTTCCGTAAACGGTATCAGTCCATCAAATTCAAATTTCCAAATTTCGGATAACGTTATATCAACATTGGATTCGATAAAATTAAAAGTGATCATAAAGATTTTCAACACGCCCGACGAAACTGTATATCCATATTGAGGTTGGGTTAGACACGATCTTAGTATCCTAACGAGAACTAAAGATGGATTTCATGATAGATTACATAATATAAACAATCTCCCGGTCGATGAATCAAAATTGAAAGTTAAAGGAGTTGACAACTATTAAGAAGGCCAGATAGGTTATTAGTAATTTTATTCATAAAAGCACACGTCGTTTGTGAAATGCTTGTAGATGAAATAGACACCTGATCAGAAAGTGTGTAGTGACCCAAAAGTCCACAACACAATTTATCACAATTAATCCACGTGAATGATAGAAAAAGATGTTTAGATGTAAAAGTTGTACTGTTTTTCTCAGACTTATTCATCGAAATTGTGAGGACCACCAAAGATGGATGCGGTAAGAAGTTTGTAGGGACACATGAACCAGAAGAATTAAAAAGGGTTGACCAGATGACACGTCTTTCATTTTTTTTCTTTTTAGTTTTAGCACCAATAAAATTATCACCAACAGGTTTCAAATTAGTCTTAACCAGTAACAATGAACCATCTTTGTTTATCAAAATGATATTTTTTGGAAGGAGAGAAGATAATTCCAGAGAAAATATCCCTTTTTCAAATTCTCTAGTCTTTAAAAAAATAATACAGCAAATTAATAAAAACATATATTGCAAATTAATTGCAAATTAAATGAGTAATAGTAAAGAATAAATACACGCACCTTTTTTTTCGTTGACTGGGGACTTTCCAAAGACTTTTTCTTGTCTTTCCAAAACCATATAACTTTATCTGATCCCGTAACATTATTATCCGAGTGAATTATAACGTAAACATAACATCTACCAGACTTTATAATACACTTTGCTGGAGTAATCACAGAACATTGGGTAGGAATCGTCCAATTACGTAACTGACGACCATCATCCTGTAAGGTTAAAGGCACGGAACAAAAATACAAAAATATAAATACTGGCATGTAAATATATAAAATTGATAAAAAGGTCGTATAATTAGGATAAGCTCACAGAAACCAAAGAAATGCCCGATCCTTTGCAAGTAACAAGAATCTTTTCTTCTAGCTCAGAATCATTCTCATTAATTGATTTTTCCGTATCACTTTTAATAGACTCGGCATCATTCATCAAATCATTTGTTTTTTCATCGATTGTTTTAACGTTAACTTTATTAAGAATTTTTGAGCTCTCTATTTTTGAACCAATTTCTACCGGAATGCTAACATTAATATCAAATAAGTTATTTTGTTTTTCGATTGCAATAATCTTTTGATCTATCTCGAAAGGTTCTCTCAAGTTTATTGCACTCATTGTTTCTATACAAAATATTGATTTTTTTTTTTTTTTTTTTTGAAGATAATCGTAATAGATATCTTTTTTGCTGATGTAATTCTCATTGGCTGATGTAAACGTAACGTTGCGTGCAGGGTTGGGGTGTTGCACATCATATGATTTAATATCATAGTGCAGCGCATATGTAATTTACACTAAGATTTTTAAATTTTTGTCGATCATTTTTATCATTATAGTAATTCATTAGTATCTTTAAAGCGCTCTAACTCCCGCTCTAGTAAAGCAAATTCAATTCTGTAACTTGCAAATGATATTAGAATCGAGTAGTTTTAAAACTA